CAATAAAAACACAATTACAATATATTACATATATTGTATGTTTATCTGTGAATGTGTTTTAAAAATAACCCCCTTTCTCACCAGAAAGTACAGAAGATAACATGAAACTACATGTAATCCTTCAGTGAATCCGTCATAAAAACTGTCTCCATCTGTTCACAGCCTCCACTCACACACTCTGTTGTTGAGCACCACCTAGTGTTGAAAGCAATCATCTTCAATCTCTTCTGCCAAAGACTCAAGAAGAGCATTACTTGTGTTGACTGTACGTGCACTAAAAACAGCTGTTTGATACCTTCACAATGTTCTCTTTTATGAGATGTAAGTTATACATGTATTACACAAAGGAGATGAAGACAATGTGAAAACCCGGCCCCATACATGACGACTACTAGCACGAAGATATAACATAAGGTGAATTGTTATAGAGAAACATTTTGATATAGAATAGATATCTTACTTGTTGGTCATTTGCAGTATGAGAAGGCTGCTTCACACATCCACCGGACTGAGTCACAGGGTTCTCTGTTGCTCAGCGGGTTTTGTAACCCAGAGCCGGCAGAGGCCTCGTGGCTGGGTGGAAGACAACAGAGGCCATCTGTTGTCTGTGTGTTTGTTTTGGTGCCCTGCCACGAAAAAAAACTCTGCTGCCAGAACACCCAAGGGTACCCATGTGCACGGCACTGCGCCTGGGGACCGGCTCACTGAAGCACCTTTATAGCCTACTGGCTCCGTCAGGGGACGCCGGTGTTTCTGCCAAAGCCCTGACACAATACCGGCGGCGACGCTTGAAAAGGGGCCTTGTTGTAGCGGGAGCGTTACACAACCATGCCATTAACCTTAATTGGAGCAGCTCGGTGGAACACGGAAAAACTTCCAACGCTCTGAGACAGCAATGTTGTCCCCCAGAGTTACATAAAATCGAAAACTGATCTCAGGCTGAGTTAATTGAATTGCAGAATAGTTATTGCTGCTGAGGAACCGCTCGTGTGCTTTTACAGAATACTAAGGCCATTGCGTAATCACAGACACATGACACATCATTTGGGGCTATTCCTCCTCCTCCTGTTTGTGGGTTAACATAATGACACCACGGAATTAAATCCCATATGGGGATTGGGTGTAGCTCAGGAAACACTCAAATAAGGAGAGACAGTAAGGGACATGTTGATAGCTCCCTTAAATTAAGTTTTGCTTGTTCACACTCTAAAGGGACAGTTCACCCCACAATCAAAAATACGTATTTTCCCTCTTGCCTGTCGTGCTATTTATCGATACATAATGAGTTTTGGAGATCTCTGTGGTAGAGATGTCCTGCCTTCTCTCCAATATAATGGGACTATATAAAAAATACTTGTGAAAAACTCAACTGCAATGAATTTTGTCCAGAAATCATGACCAAGATATTCCACAGACCTTGTTGTGAGCGACTATAGTTGAAGGAAAATAGTTCCTGCATTACTCACAACAAGGTCTTTCAATAGTTTTTCAAATTAATTTTATTTTGGCACTTTGAGCACCAAAAGCCAAGTGCCATCTAGTCCCATTATATTGGAGAGACATCTCTATAGCTATAGTCTCCAAAAATAGGCAATTTACACTGAAATAATCGAGATTGATAACGAGCACTGTGAGGAAAAAATAATATTTTTAATTTGGGGCTTGAAGTGTCCCTTTTAAAAAGCTCATATAGCCTTGAGGTTGAATTAGCATCTTCATATGAGTGTCACATGTTTAGGTTAATCTTCAACTATTGAAGAGCAAACGCTGGAGTTGCTACAGCACCGTAGTGGGTCCAAGCAGGTGACTGTGTAGAGAACAGTCTGCCTATTCAACACATATAAATGTACTGCAACCTCAAATGACATGTAGGGAAATGACTGCAGGGAATATCCTACATTTTTGCTTTCATTCCCTTTCATCAACGTTGACACTATTCGGTCTATCTATCTGCGACATGGAGAGATAGTATCATGAATATCTTCCATTTATCAGAGAAACTAGCCCACAGCACTTCCTCCCTAAATCTGTTATCTCATACTCATTAATCTCCTCAGAGATTGGATTGCAAAAGAAGATTACGGCAACAGCAGGATTTACCAGAGTTCGGGGGGGGGGGGGTCACTGCATTTCGTTTTTGGACCCAGTGGCTCCACCATGACTTACTTTTTAAAGTAAGACAAAAAGTTAAGCTTCCATTTAGTGTTAATGGAGCACCTGCAGTCTGTGTGTTGGTTTGTCTCTTTGACAGTGAGCTGAGGACATTAGATGAACACATTAAAGTGCCAAAAAGGCCAAAATGAGCTCATGATTTCAAGGGTTCTCCCCCCTTAACTAAACAGCTACTGCTCTGTCCTGGCGAGACAACAAGCTGCAAACACACATCAATTACTTTGCTCAAACAAGACCAGCATGTGAGATGCTATTACTGTGTTTTCCAAGTCTTGGGAGAAGTTTGTGAATGTTAACAGCTTTCACCGTCAGCTTGACAGATTGTGGAAATGCACTGCGCTGAATGTGTAAACAGGAGATGAATCATTGCTGTCAACAAGGCTATACAAGCAAGCTGTGTGGGGAAATGTGGCTGGTCTACAGTTCTGGTCTTGCCTTGCACCTTTAAATATCTATCGTTGAAACCAGTGCTGACTTTTGTATCAGTCAGGTTTGCCCTCAGGAGTGTTGTTTGCACTGTGAAGCAGCAAAGCCTTGTTGTGTACTCGGCAGAAGCTCTCTAATTAGTCAAAGTCTTAATTGCATGGTAGAGAGATCGAAACTGCTTATAACTAATTCAAAAGCAAGTCCGCGATCGCAGCCAAACGCAATGAAGATACATAGCTTGAACACACATGAACGGTTGCCTCAAATGAACCACGCGTGCGTGCCAAAATTGTACGTTAGAAATCACTGTTCATGTTTGAAACATGCAAAACACATGATACGCTTATAAAATATAATGTCTTATTGTAGCTTTAACTCCCCAACAGTATGGTAGGTAGTTATATTTAGCTCCACCTCAACCAGTAACAATATTTAGAAGACTTACACATTTAGTTATAACACTTTCTAATGAGTCACCCATTATAAAGGCCTTTAAGCCAGCAATCTATAACTCTGTTGTTTATATGATCACTTAAGGCCTTAAAGGGGCACTCCACCAGTTTTACACGACAAGTTCAGTTTACTTGTCATGCAGAGTCTTACTCAGCCTGTGAAAACGGTAGCATCATGTCCTCTGTGGTTCAAGAGGGAGCTTTCCCAAAAAATAAGCCTGAAGATGTCATCCAGGACCCAGCTTGACCCATATTAAGCACTAAAAGATTGGGTATCTCGGCCTTCTGTTGCTTTGCCCAAACCCGACCCGCCAGATGGTTTGTTACACAGAACCATCTAAGAAGTCTTCATTGGAAACTGTTTGGAAAAAGGCGGGCACTTTCAAGGAAATACGTTGCAGCGGATTGGATTAACCATCTTTCAATCAAACTCTTGCCGAAGCCAGTCGGAGCGAAAAGATCTTTTCTATTTAATTTAATTTAATTTAATTTAATTTAATTTAATTTAATTTAATTTAATATATATATATATAATATAGAAACCCTCAAAAGTTTCTAATTATTAATGCAAACATGTTATTAATAAGTGTTTTTAGTAATCATCAAGTCTGCAGTATTTGCAGATAATATTCTGCACTTTTATGTTTTATCATTTTGATTGCAGGACTATTCTTTTGGACTGAGTATTTATCTGAGTATGTATCTCTACTCTTGTTACTTTCACCACTCACGCCACTAGAGGTCAGGCTGGTATTCAGTCGCTCAGGTATTTGCAGGATACCAAGATGTGCTGTGGTTATAAACTGCGGGGTAAACATTTGAATACACAGTGATCTATCCATGCATTTCACATTTGATTACAAGGAAACTGGGAACTTTTTCTGATGTAGCTGCCTGGAATGTGATTGGCTTAGAAGGCCCACGGTACCTCACCTGTGAAATCACTTTCAGTCTTCAATAACGTCTGTCAGCTCAGAGGAATCAGCTGGAAGAGCATGAGAATGTATAAGCAACACAAAGATCGTCAAAACAGAGTAACAGCAGGTGTTGCTGAGCAGCGACACGTCACTTATAAAATTGTCATTGGGTGCCAAAGGATGTTGATTCATCCCTTAAACATGGAGACAGACCAGTTGGGCTATGACAGCAGCTGCCTGCGTTGTCTGACAGATATAACCTTAATCAGGATTAGTTTGCATGACAGGTGGAGGAAGTCTGGGCTGACACACACACACACAACAACAGACACACACAGATGTTGGACTACACACACGTCCTAGCACTGTGTGAACAAATGTAATCTGAAGTGATTTTTGTCCCTCGAAGACAGGATGAGGTCAGCAGAGTATGTTGGCGTACCGAACAGAAAAATGAAAGACTGTAGTTCAAGGGTCTCTCCCGAGAGAGCCACCGGGAAAATGACTGGAATAAAGAGCTCTCTCCTCGTGCGTGCAATCACTTAGAAGAAGTGGGGCTGACAGGGCTGTTCAGGTTGGAGCAAAAGCCCCCCCGTTCATTTGAAATCCATTGAAGGTGATTGCAATCTCGTGATGAACTGGAAAGTGCTTTCGTTAGGGCACACTAGGCTGGGAGTGCACTGGAAGTTATTTTTGATATATGGATGTATGAAATGGACTGCAGAACCCCAGAGCTGGAATCACTTAGACAGCCGTCTCTCGTCTTCATGTCAAATATCAAAGAAAAGGAGTCCTTTGATAAGAAATCAGAACGTATTCATGGATTATTCCATTTTGATGTCTCTTTAGATTTGAATTTTATAATCCTATTAATATTTGTGATGTGACCAATGTAACGCTGCGATTTCATGAAAAATGTTGGAGCAAACCAAGAGATCACTCTTTAGGTGACGATGTACAGTATGACGAGGTGTAACGCTGCGTGTTGCTTTCATTCTTTGTGCCGATCGTGGAAAAGAAAAACAGAGTCAAATAGCAGTTCACAATTTATTTACTGAATAAATTTGGACAAAACACCAGAATCTGTTACGATACAATCAGAACATCTGAGGCAGATATCCCACCATGCACCACCACCCCCCCCCCCCTCCATGAAACAAAAGGACTAAACAATAGCACCAAATCAGCACCAACTTAAATAAAAGGTAGCTCAGTCTACAAAAACAAAAAAAGCAAGTTTTATTTATTGAAAAGCAACTCAGAAAAGTAGCAAATTGAGAAATGTCATGTTTTTTTTTTTTCTAAACTTTTCTTAAAAAACAAGCACCCTCCCCCCACCCCTCCCCCCCTGCTAGGCAGGCTATAGCATTCATGGGGCACATGCCAATGACTAGATAAAAACACAAATTCAAGTAACATTGAGATACGACAAAACATGTCCACTGGTACCCACTCCGAGCATGACCGTTTCACAGAACCTACGCAGGCAGTAGAAAACCAACATGTCGCAGCAATACTGTCACCGAATATCTCGTATCAAGTTTTTAAAAAAAAGTGAGGGAGACCGGGTGGCGCGGGCTGTCGGGGGGAGGCACCGGAATACTGGCTTTGAAGATGTTGTGTATTCCAAAACTTCAGACATTTTCGTCTTCGAGTCTGTCCTGTGTCAAGATATTGCCTACATCATACATGAAAAAGGAATCTCTGAATAAAGAAAAACCCTGCAATGTAGTTTTAAATATATATATTTATTTATATATATATAATATATATATAGCTGTTACAATTTAAATAAACGTTACCTTCTCGTCCCTACAACTGAATGAATGAATTTAAATAAGAGGAAGCTAATTTTTAATAGGTGGAATTGTCCATTCGTCCAACACATCAAGTGCATGATGCCATGTTTGGAGGCTTACCGAAAAAAAACAAGAAACACTGTTCACGGTTGAGGTTTTGGGAGTGATATTAAAGCAGCAGTCGCAACACTGTGGAATAGCTTAAAAACAAAAAAAGACAGAATAATGTTTAATATAAGGGTGGTGAATGACGTGTGGTGAAAGCTGAAAACGAGGCTGTCAAGGAGTTAAGTTGAGAGAAAATAATGAGACAAATGGGATGACAAAACAAAAACTTAACCATGAAACAAAGACGACGCCAAACCATGTAGATGATGAGAAAAAGCCTAAGCTGCTCCATTTATTACCCAATGGTCCCAGGTCAGGGATGATCAGCGTGTTGTATTAACAATAGGACTTGGGGTTGTGATTCCTGACCCTGGATCTGTGGTTTAAATTGACACCACCTAAAGCTAAAACTAAATCTGTAAGAAAAGGTGTGGTGTTGCACTGTGTCAGTTCGATTTCAATTGTTCTCCTTGGTTTCCTGTGTTCTTTTGTCCCTTCATGCTTTCCATAGTGTCAAAAATGGTGAATGTGTCTACTTTTATGCACACCACATTAAACCAAACAGATCCCCCTCCCCCCCCCAAAAAAAAGAACATTTGCTACATTGTTTGCAACTTGCATGTCTGGCGGCAACATCCCGAGCGGGAGCTGCACCGCCAGGTGACGCATAGATGCCATTTGTCATGCCAGGCTCAAGGTTTTCCATGAAATGGTGGAAAAGGAAACAGGATGGAAACACCTTTATTATGAGACAAATGTTCACCTATTAATCTCTAAACTACTGTTTTCGGCTCTGCTGTGAGCGTGGCGAGCCGACCGTGGCGGAGTCGTCCGATTTTGTGCTTGCTGTTTGCTCAGCTGAAGAACTGCTCCAGCTCCTCCTCCATGTTCACCTCAGGCACCATCTGCTCCTGCTCCCTTTCTCCTCGGCCGTGCGCCACGGCGCCCCCTAGTGCTCCGGAGGAGGCGAACCAGGGGTGGTCCAGGATCTCCCGAGAGGTGAGGCGCTCCGCGGGCTCCCGGCGGAGAATGGAGCGGATCAGGCACTTGGCCTTGGGCGTGAGCGTCTCGGGGATGTTGAAGTGGCCCCTGCGGATTTTGCTGAACAGAGAGCCCGGCTCAACGTCATGGAAAGGGTAGCGGCCCACGAGGATGGTGTAAAGCATGACGCCCAGACTCCACACATCAGCTGCCTTCCCCGAATAGCTGCCGTTGGCGTTGAGGATCTCAGGACTGACATACGCTGGGCAGCCATGTTTGTCTGACAGGGAGTCATCGTGACCGTCCAGGATGTAAGTGTCCTCGAGGCTCTCAAGCTTCACGAGGCTTCTGGAGACACACAAGGGGAACAAAGACACACAATGATGCCGCTTTACAAAACAATGGACACGCAGAATAATCTGTTAATGTGAAAGCTGTTCAATGATAACTGCTATCGCAGTTCCAAGTTTGGATAACAAAAAACTGGAATACAAAAAGACGCTCAAGTGGGGTAATTTGCTGTGATGGGCATCTTAAGTGTTTTAGATCCAACGCTTTTGGATATCAGAGGAAGTAGAGCACATAATGCTCAAGGCTTAAGTTTGACATTTCCTTTCACGGAGATAAAAGCCCAGCCAGAAAGCATTGACGTACGAAGATGCTTTCCAAAAGACCTCCGCAATTCAAAAGAAACACAATTATGGGTGACTGGTCGTCTTAAGTTGCATGCATTGAACTGCTCTCAGATAATCAAGGACCCGACAGTGTGGATCCCCCCCCCCCCCACTTTTCCACCTCCAAATCGCATCCATTTGCATTCTTCTCTAAAACCCCACAACAGCAGCTAGGACACCCTTGAGTGCCGATAATAATGGCTGGTTGTTCAGAAGCGATGTCACTAAAGAATCCGGAGAGGCTCAGGCAAGAAAATGTTCCACGTGCACGGTAAGAGACACTTGTGGGGCGGCGCAAACGCTGCCATCTGCGTGTGAGGTCCACGAGACATGATGCACCAGACAAAGAGCCGGGGTGTGCGACAGGATCTATTGGGAGACACTAGGAAGGAAGGAAGGAAGGAAGGAAGGAAAGGAAACCAAGACGCACTGAAGAATGTGTTCTTTGCCATCTGTGACACGCGCAAACACATTGGAATCAGCCCACTCACTGGTTCATTGTCAGCAGTAGTTATTTGCTGTCATTAATGTGCCGTAGAGCGCTTTCACATAATGAACACAGCAATTGCTGCCTGGATAACAGCTTGTTTGGAGGACATGTGCAAACCTGCAATTACAGTAAAGAGGGCTTAGAAAAAAGAAGCTATATGGCATGCAATGCATGCTGGTCCGATCACGTCTCATGTGCTTGGTGTAGGAGCACAGGGCCTGTTTAAGTAGCCATGTTGATCCACTCCAGGCTCTTTAAACAGGCTGCTGTTTGGTCAAAGGCTAACAGCGGTGTGTGACAAAAGTCATGTCAGGGAGCTAGCGCACGCTGAAGAACTCTGCTCAGGTATCATTTTATGTCTGCCCTCGTTCCCTTCCTTCACTCGAGCCTTTTGTCACACACACACACTTGGGTTCAAGCCAGAGCAGCACATCTGTGTCTCAGTCTCTGAAAACAGTCCACTGAGCCAGAAAGACCGAGAAGGTGCAAGAGGATTCTTGACAGGCCATATAGTAAATATGACCCAATACTGCCCTGCACTATCACTCTTAAAACCCACCAGACATCAATCATTTAATGGAAGAGGGGGGGGGCTCCAGAGCTCATGAGCAGTCTGGTGTGACACTCGAGGTCATTGGACCCGCACTAAATAGGTGAAGCGGCTCAACTTCCCTTTTCCACCATTGGAGCCAAAGTATGACGTCACACTTTGAGCTGGAGGGCATCGATGTGCAGAACTGTCCCCCGAACAAACTTCAGCGTTACAATCGATTGTAAAAGAGTCTGACTCAACATCTATTGAAAATTCAATTTCTAAAAAAAATAAAATTAAAAAAAAAAAAAAAAAAAAGGTGCTCTCAAGTTGCTGTGGCAACAGATGACTGGATTTTATGCAGGTAGTTTTGAGAAGCTGCCACCAGGGGGCAGCAGAGAGCGCTGCTTTCTCCTGCTGATCCCTACAGAAGTGCAGCAGCGGCAGAAGCTCGCCCCAATTGATCGTCCTGTAACTTCTCGGTTCCTTTTGGAAGAAAAACGGCAACGATGCTCCAGAAGTGTGATTCCGTGCGTAACAATCACTGATGCATTCATCATATCCTCTACTAAACCTACAGAAATAGCTCGGCGAGACACAAAGGGCTAATGTTTCCTGTTCTCTGAGTAACATCTGGGTGAGGCGTGCCAGTCTTGTATCGTCTCGGTTTACACTATCCTCTGTGTAAGCCGAGACATAACACAGACAGTACTGACACGGTTACATTATGCACTTACATCACATACAACATGTTCAGATGAAACCAGAGGAATGAGACTGTCTGCAGAACTCACCTGTCCTCATTCTTGAAGACGAACTTCCTCAGTTTGAGGTCGCGGAGGACCAGTCCGTTTTCGTGGCAGTGCGCCACAGCCGAGGCTATCTGATGGAAGAGTCTGGCAGCTTCGTCCTCCCGCAACTTCTTGCAGGTGCGGACGAAGGAGTGCATGTCGCCATAGCTCCTCTCAAAGAACACGTAGGCTCTCGTCTCCCCGAGCAAGATCTCCAGGATTTGGTTAATGTGCTGGTGCTGGCCCAGGGCGAAGTAGGCCGCCAGTGACTCCTGGTATCGGCCGATGTCAAAAACCTGCAATCAGAAGACGGGAAAGCATGAATATTTACAGTCCATTTCTTTAATCCATGGCGACTTAACGCGTTTGTTTGTAGGGCCACGATGTTTGTGACAAATCCCCCTTTCCCACGTTGGAGATTAGATCCAACTGATAGAGCTTCAAATCGTCCTTTTAAATTGGCAACGTACTGCTTCTTGTGATGCCAAACTTGTGTTTACTCTTTTGGCAGAGGGAGTCAGGTTGCACAGAGGCAAAGTGAAAGCATTGTGTTACAGAACGGTATTGTACTGCAGCCAGGGGTAGCAGTGTCTCTTTTGTTTCCATAGTAACCCCCCCCCCCCACACACACACACACACACACACACACTGAGAAGACTCCTCTGCAGGCAGTCAATACAAATACACTCCTACAGCTTCTCCAGCTTCTCCAGGTCTTGAGCTGTGACCTCGGCTTCCAGCTTAGAGGGACTGATCAATCCTGCGTGTGTGTGTGTGTGTGTGTGTGTGTGTGTGTGCCGCATTGAAACCGGTACAAAAGGAGCTGAGGTCAAAAAGCAGTTAGCTCACAGGCAGTTGCCAAAGGCCATTAGTTTGTTATTGCCATGACGAAACATCGCCTCGAGTGAGTCAAAAGGTGCAGGGTTATTGGATACGTCGTGCCTCATGAGTCCAACGGTGCGTGTAACTATCTCTCGATTCATCAAGCCACTTAAGCCTGCTTAAGCTGGAACGTACCTCAGGGACAACCCCGCTGCCCTTATAATCAGTGATATACCACAGTCAATACGGGCTGTGCATGTGGTGAGGAGAGGCCATTAGGTTGTCCTCAACCTTGAGGGAAGAGTGTTTTCTTTTTTTAACGGTCGGAGGGGTCAATGACAACAGCTGGCTGAACTTGTAAAGTTCCCTAGCCCCCTCCCCTCCCCTCTGTGTGTTTTTTCTCTCTGCACAACTGTCCTTTAAAATGTTACGATGGTTGTGCATGTTGGTGCAATAGGACTGCTGCCAAGTATGAAACGGCAAGGGTGAAATAATACAGCATTGCACTACGAGAGAGTGAGCGAGAATAGCACGGAGAGGAGTGCGTGGTTACTCACTCCTTTGTCAATGTTACATCATGCAATCCAAACCCACGCAGCTCGCCCCATTCACTTTTTCCATTAGGCTGCTCTGCCTGCTCTCTATTTACAATTCAAGCAATTATTAAAAAGTGCAGAGGAGTGTGGACTTTGCTGCAATAGCCAATCCATAAAACACCAACTAAGGTTGGCATGTTCAGCACATTTGAAGCAATGTGTAATGAGATAAAGCCATTATAGTTCATGCAATTAATGCAAAAAGGGGTGAGAAATCTGTATTTTGTCCTGAAAATTATATTTTTAAGAAAAAAGGTGGAGAAAACTATTCTTGGAGCATTAAAATAAAAAAGGTAGGATAACCATGTTGCATACTAACCTTACATACGAGCTCTTCCCCGCTGTGCAGGTGGGCGGCTCTGAAAACGTGGTCTCCCTCCAGCGGCTCCAACAAAAGGTAGTCCCCGATGCGGGAGATACAGTGCGAGGAGTCCGGGGTCTCCGGCGGGCTGGGGGACCCGAGGTTGGGGCTGAAGCTCTGGTGCGTCTCTGTAGTCCTCAAGCAAGACAATTCTTCGAAATCGTGCGATTTGTGCCGCGACCTCCCATAACGTGAAATGTTAATTGGATTTGACCTCTGTATGTTCATGAGGAAGAAGTGTGAAAACTCCACAAAATATGGGGCTGAAGGGGGGGGGTTCTTCTTTGATCTCCTCCTCTATTAAGGCACTACTTTTGTTATAAACTCAGTGCAATGTGAAAAAAATTGTCCGCTTTTGTTAGTAAATCTTGAATAAAGTAATACAAATAATTGATTTGACTGCTCCTGGCTGCTGGGGAATGTGGCAGACTGTCAACAGGCAAAGCTGGTTTTCAAACAACAGAAAAAGGCTCTGTAATAATTATTATTCTTGCAGAGTTCAACTGTACAATTGCCCCTCTTTGTTTTCCATTCAAGAGATACGACCGGGCTAAAAATGGCAGAATTGCTGCCCCCCCCCCCCAAAAAAACCCTTCTGTGCAAACCTGCTGCAATTTCTATTAACGTTAGCAGCGCGAGAAGAGGCACGAGACTGAAACAAAGGCTACCCAAAAGTCAGCTTTTACAATGAATGAAGGGGGGGTGCTAAGTTAACCCTGCAGCTGGTTTGCTAGCTTATCTTTACCGGTTAATGGCACGTTTCGTAAAACGGAAACAATTTACAGCTGGCAGGCACAGAAACCAAAAAATTGCACGAGCAAAAATATTTATATATGTATAAAGCAAGTTTTGCAAGCTAAATATAGCTGCTTAATTTAGCCGAAATTTTTTTGACGAGATGGCTAGCAGGTGCAGAGCTAACTAGTTAGCTTACTTGGCTAACTAGTACCAGGTCAGTGCACGGCCTTGTTCCCCGGGATCATATCCACGCACGGCGATTGTCATCTACCACAGCAGGGAGAAAACCCCATCCAGAAAATGCTGAAGCTCTTTGTGTGCGTGCGGAGTCGACGTCCTCTCTCTCGCTCTCTCTCTCTCTCTCTCTCTCTCTCTCGGTCTACCACGGGTTGAAGGAAAAAAAAAAAGTGTCGTCTGTGTTGTACGTGGAGCTGCTGTTAAAAGAAAAAGGAAAGGATAGGGACGGCCGGCCGACTTTCCCAGGCCTATCCCTTGATTCAGCAGGACATCCTCTCTCTCGCTCTCCCGCTGGTGCGCCGCTGTGCTTCTTCTTACGTGGCTGGGAATCTAGTCCATTCAAGTGCGGAGGGGAGGCCAGCCGAGCTGCACACACTGTCACACACACACTGCGCCTGCACAAGAGCGAGAGAGAGAGCTGACGGAAGATGTGTGTGTGAGGGGGGGGGGGCTTTCTGCTGCACACGCGCGCACGGTCACGCACGCACACATACATGAGCGCACGACCGACCCCGCCCCCTTGACGTCACTCCCACATCGAAGCCCCATTGGCCTCCGACCTGAGATATAATATGCAGCGCAGTCATGTGAGAGCCATGTAGTGTGGCTACCCCCCCCCCCCCCCTCCACACAGGAATCTAAAAGCATCGCACGCTGGTAAATTGGATGGGGGGGGGGGGGTGGAGGCAGTGAGTGTATAGCTACTGTACGTGCTGTGCTACAAATGTGTTTCCTCCTGAAATGTCATTCAAGGGAAAGCAAGGGAGATCCCTCTCTCACAGTAGCGCACGGATATGCGCCTTCATACAGTACTGATATGCATTTGCGTCCATATAGTGTTATCTAAATGGAAAACACTGCATGCAGCCAATGTGTCAGACTTGATTTATTTAAATATGAAAATGCAGCACATAACGTTATAAAAGCGTGCTGCTGTTGTGACTCACCTATGTGAACTGTTGCACGGCAAGTGTCAACAAAAACACAAACATGCATAGTGATATGATGAATGTATTAGAAATACAAAAACGCAATAGGAGAATGAAACATGATGGCAAGAGGGGGGAAAAGGGTGACTTTAATCGGTGGTTAATCTTTGTCCTTGAGAAGAAAAAAATGCTTATTATATGGGGTTGCATTAAATATTTTTGCCAAGTGCATAGAAAAAACTCTCTGACAACAGATTTTCATTAAAAGCTGGCTGTGTGCTTTTGAGACATCTCTTATGACAAATTCCTGTCATGCAGATTTGTGCCCCCGTAATGCATCACAAAGCGACGGATGGAAGAGGTTCATTATTCATTGTTCTTGATTACCAGCGGGTGTGGACAGCAGGATTGTGCAATTCCATGTAGGAATCCGGGGCGGCGAGAGGAATGCTTGCAGCTGGACGCAAGACACTGACAGAAGTGTTCAATTTAACCTTTATTCTCTCTCCTTGCAGGCAGTAGCGGTGCACACATGCATACACAAACATGCACTATTCTAAATTTGTGTTTTCTCGCATGCCTGCCCGAATAAACCCCCGCAACATGGAAATGTATTTTTTCACACAGAGGCCTCTCGAGTAGGTTCACAGTTTCAGAATGTGGCTGCACCCACAAGCTTTTACATCCCAGTCCTCAAGCTTATGTGCATGTATGTTTTCTGGGTTCTGTGATATAATCTCCGTGAGCCACCCACTTTATTCTTTGTTTAACGCCAGAACATTCCTCACCATACAACAACTTGGCTTTTGTCTCACCCATTCTGTTGAGAAACAATATTAACATGCTGCTGAACGATGGAAAATGTTACAGTTTACACCCTGGATAAACACAGTGATACACATGGACATGCTACCATAGTACGTCTCTGCGCTTGCCCATCACTCTAACCCCACATAGGGATTCTGTTAAGCCTAAACCACAGCTGTGCATGAATCAGAATAATAATCCCCAAAGATTCCTTTTGCCCCCATTCCCTGACACACTGTGTGACTCATTCCCAGCGGAGAGCAGCACTCGAGAAAATCCATCGAGGCTCACCAGCTCTCCAGACACGCCTACATGCCGAGGAGCAACGGCAGGCTACCCCAGCAGTGCCTTCCAGCGTGTGTGTGTGTGTGTGTGTGTATACCACAGAAACAAGATGTGTCCTGGAAGACTGCAGAGGTCAACAAGGACGGGAGAACGTCTCAGAATCCCTGGAGCGGTGTTACTCACCACATTCCTAATAGGCGGCTTTGGCCTGTAAAAAACGATCTAAGGTCAGTTTCCCCTTTGATGGTGAAGTTACAGGAAGGCCTAAGGGCTTTAAATCCACAAGACGAATGTGTTTTCCACGGCGGTTGCAATCAAATGAAATTCGTTAGCATATATCTTGGAACCCACTCAAATGAGAGATATTTTCCTCGCATTGTATGTTCAGAAAATAGGCAATTTCACACTGTCACATAGCAACGCAGCTGCAGCCAGCTCCCGTTGACACCAGCCAGAATCGGTGCTGTCACATCCCTGCGGGTGACTTCCACTGAGAAACTCGATCATATATAGGCGAGAAGACGGATGCAGAAGCATGGGAGGAATGAGATCATTCAGTGAGAGTGAGAGGAGATGATGGTGAGGGAGGACGGAGGATGGAAAAGCAGGAGAATGTGACGAAGAAGGAGGAGGAGCAGGAGGAAAGAGGGAAGAAAAGTGTTGTCCCCCAACGTCGTCTTCAGAAAACAGCGGAAATACTTTGTGTCAGGCAGTGAATGCCAGCTGCAGAGCTGAGCAGAGGAACAAGATGTTTAATATATAATTGTACAGATATGTGTGGGAGTAAAGGGCACCGAGTCAAACCAAGTTAGGCAAAGAGGCTTCACAAGACAAACACTCAGTCATAATGAAACCACTGACATCAAGTTGATATCAGAGGTATTCTCAGTTCTGTGTTGACTGTGAGCCCCGCTCTCGTGGACCCTTTATTTCTAGATCTACTGTTGAGACTCGTACAAAGTCCCACGATACTCACATGAACCACAGTGAGCGTGTTGGTACGGGGCAACAGCTGCGACATCCCTCAATTTCAAGTGAGTGAAAAAAAAAAAGTTATTTTGGGGATGGGTATATGTGCCACATTCTGCCCTCCGTGGCACTTCGGGACCTGAGGCCTGTTTTTAACCGAGAGAGTGAGCCGATTCGAGGACAGAGAGGGAAGAGAGGAGGGAGCGGGGTGGATAATGTTTCACTGATGCCATGATGATGCTCACATTTCTCCCCATTCTCTGCACATTGTCTGAGTGGCACAGCAGCAGCAAATTGCAATCGCGAAAAACTGCGAGCTTGTTTTCATCGTCAATTTGTGATCAGATCTGACAGATTAAAATGACGAAAAGAAAAGCTCAAATTGGTGATTGTGAAAATGCATAATGGTAGTTTCTACATATCCCAAAAGGTTCATTATGATGGATGCCTTCACCATCGGCGTGTCCTCATCTCTTCTCAGAACCTGAGACAATGGGGACACTTAAAGCTCTGTTGTGCACTATATATCTGAATAGTGAGTCTGTCCATCTACGGAGAGACAATCTCAATCATGTATCCTCAAAGAAAGCAAAATGTCAAGGGAACCCATAATATAATAATAAAATGCAGAAGTACACACAGAGGCAACACCCGAAAAATGTTCCATACTGTGTGTATAACTTTACCGTCAACCGCATTTTGTCTACTTAAGGCGGTACAGGAAATGCATGAGAGCAAATTAATGAACACATCGCATGCAAAGTCAGCATCAGGGTAAACCCAAGGGGACAATTCAGCAGATCAAATAAACACTGGCACTTCCGTTGACCTTTATTCAACCTCCTGGCTTGTGACCAACAGTTTATAAGAGGCCACATTAGACGAAATCTAAATGAAAATGCCCTCTGCTGATGCATGCAGGACGCGCTGCCTGAAGAGGTTGTTGTTTTTCTCTCTCGGTGAGACAGTTTCTGAGGCGGCAGGAAAGTGTGAGCGGCTGTGAGTGGCAGGTCACGCAGACGAGACCTCCTCTAACGCGGAGAGGAAGGATCTTGGCCCGAGGGACTGGGGTGGGGTGGGGCAGGATTGGCTTGGACCTCTCCCTCATGAAGTCAGACAGCTGAGTGAGGACTTGTGGCAGCTCTGTCACTGGACAGGGTGACTCACTCACTCATAAGTGGAGAAGGTTAATAATAGTCATACATTAGAGCCGCAGAAGTGAAATCACACAGCTTTAGCAGCTTAAGCCTTCCAAATGGCATCGGCTGCCAAAGCGAAAAATGTGTTTCACCGGCTTGTCTATCTCTCATTCACGTGGCGGTTTATAGGTTTAGATGGCATTAATGTGAGCGTGAATGTCTTCAAGCTAAATCGTTGGCTGTTTGAAAGACATTACGACATTGTTGCAATATGTAGTACGTATATTCTAAAGTGACAGACGCATGAAGGCATCAAGCATGACTTGTCAAAACTGCCAGCAAAATGGAGAAAAAAATAAATAAAATCCCAGCAAATAGAACATCACTGGTGTCTTGATTTGCGTTTTTTCTCTCCGCTCTGTCTGACAGCTGATATTGTCTTCCGTGTGGAGAAAACATATTTCCTGGCACTGCGACGCTTGCATGGAACTGCCAAAGGCGTCACAGGGAAAACCAGGCAGATTTATTAAAAAATTCCCAAACATTTGACATTTCAGAAGACGCGAGGCGAAGACGCCAACATTATACTGCCTTTGCTACGGATGAGTCAGTCAGAAACTCTCCACGATTTTGCAGGGGAGTCACACTGCAGGAGCCCAGCACGGTAAGGAACGTGCACTCATGTAGTATACATGTTATTGTGTGATAAAAATAAGCATTTTAGGATTGTCTGATAATTCTGGTGGCTCGCCGGTTGTCGCCATTGCCTCGAAAGCAAAGGCGGTTGTTGAGTTTGATTCTTCTTCGTTCCTGTGTTTCCTCAGGTGAATTGCAGGTGGATTGTTTATAACAGGCACAAGGAAAAGAGCCGTAGAGTAGTAAAAACCCAGAGGCTTATCGCGACGCTCCTCTTGAGCAAGGCTGGATTACCAACGGGGCAAAGTGGGCAGTTGTTGGGCCCTGAAGGCTTCCCTTTCACTGTGTGGCAAGGAGTTTGTGGTCATTGGTGAATTGCAGCTTTGTTTGCCATTACTCTTGGCACCACCAAAGCAAACTATGAACTGAAATGACCTGCACTATTATATTGAAGCCCAACATATTTTCAAGCTAATACATACACAATGCACATAATGAGAGAAGCTAGGTTGATCTGGTCCTGTCTGGCCTTGAGTGGTCAAACTTCAGGAGCAAAATAAAAATATAGACAATGATCATCCTGCAAACCCGATTATCCAATGCTGTCAGAACCGGTACATGCAGATGGCAATGAGGAATCTAACTCC